GATATGGTGATGTCGTGCGATGCAATGGCGTCGAGATCGAGTCCGCTCCCCTCGTCGGTGATCCACTCTTCCAGCCGGGCATCCACCTCCTCGCTCCACCCTCGCACGGTTCTTCTGCATTCCGCCTCTGAAGTAATGATATAGCTGTGAAGGGTTACACTTTTTTCTATGTTTCTTACTTCTCCCGTCGCGAGGTCGGTTCTGCTGAGAATGAGGGTGAATCCCGTAAACGTCTTGATGGCAGGAGGAGGACACCCGAGAGTGCAACGATGGGTTTGAAGGATTTCAGCGAAATAATCTTCGTTTCTGCGAAGGTATTCGACGGGATCAGGCTGATCGCAACCTGGGATGCTAAAACCCAGCCTTATGCACGCTCCATGGAATAGCTCATTACGGGAAATAATGTGAGGTGATACCGCATCGTCATCGTCGTTATCGCCATTGCTGTCTTCACTGTCTTCACTGGTGCTGTCTCCGAGCTTAATTCCGCAGGTGCGAACTCGTTCCTGTTGACATCGGGAGGGCCCAGGGCGCGGCAAGGGAGGCCTAGAGCGAGCACGTGACGGCCCCGGCTGAGGTGATGGAGCTCTCTGACCGGCGAGAGGGTTTGGTTGCAGCGGGACTTCACCAACTTCAGGATGAGACGGCGCCGGTCGTGCATTCCCTGCAGTGAAAAATAGATCGTTTATCATTATAAAAATCGGAATCAATATTGCTATTAATGATGTTAATTTACATATATTTACATACTTTGTTGGATGCTTACCTTGTAAGGAGGATTGAGGAGCAATCTTAACACCTTTAGATGCCTTTCCTGCACCGCCTGCAAGAATTCGAACAAAATATCATATTTACTTTGGTGTCATACTTAAATAGACTGTAATAGCATTATAAACAAACGGATTTGTTATATGTTTTACACTTGATATGATTTATCTTACCTTGGTAACAGCGTTGTCGGTGGTGGTAAAGTCTTGTTGTAGGAACGTAAAGATTGCACTTTGGGCAGAGCAAGCAAAGGTGGTTTTGGACTTGCTTTTGACCGCAGTATTGACAGAAGCAATCAGTTCGAGCCATGGTAATCACTTTCACAGAGAAGGCGATGCTAATGTTTGGACATGCCAAAATCCCTCTTTATATACCGGAGGATGGGCTTTGTGAGAGGTTACAGTTGTGGTATTTTGTGTATGTTCGTTTATCATCTGTGTCTGATATACAGATATGCAAATAGACATCCCTCAAAATACCTTTTTGTTTTGAACTGATATAACATACCAGATGGAGAGGCAGTCGCACGGGATTATGTTACAGTGTGTGTGTGTGTGTGTGTGTGTGTGTGTGTGTGTGTGTGTGTGTGCGGGTATTAGCGAAATTATCATCTGTGTGTAATATGTAGATAGACATAGAGAGATACATCTCTGAAAAACCTTTTTGTGTTTAACTATTATACCACCTTGGAGGGGGGGGGGGGGCTATTTAGTGGTTTTGGCATGAGTTGACACCCTGACAGATAGAGAGGCTGTCGCACGGGATAATGTTACGGGGGGAGGGGCGGGGGGGGGGATTATGTTACAGTGGGGGGGGAGGGGGGAAGTCTCCTTCTCCTCCTCCTTCCTCCTCTTCCAGATAGACATCCCTCAAAAAAACTTTTTGTTTTGAACTGTTATAACATGTTGAGGGGTTACACCTGACCGCATAAGTAGGTCACATAAGTACGTTAAACAAACGGTAGGGGGGGGGGGGGGCTCGGGAATTTGTATATGATTATCTGTATCTCCTGCAGGCGACAGATAGAGAGGCTGTCGCACGGGATTATGTTACAGAGCGGGGGGGGGGGGGGGGGGGACTATTTAGTGGTTTTGGCATGAGTTGACACCCTGACAGATAGAGAGGCTGTCGCACGGGGGGCTCGGGAATTTGTATATGATTATCTGTAACTCCTGCAGGCGACAGATAGAGAGGCTGTCGCACGGGATTATGTTACAGGGAGGGGGGACGGGAATTTGTATATGATTATCTGTACCTCCTGCAGGCGTATGTCGGGAGAGAAAACGATGATTATTTAGTGTTTTTGGCATGAGTTAACACCCTGACAGATGGAGAGACTGTCGCACGGGATTATGTTACAGTGGGGGGGAAGTCTCCTTCTCCTCCTCCTTCCTCCTCTTCCAGATAGACATCCCTCAAAAAAACTTTTTGTTTTGAACTGTTATAACATGTTTAGGGGTTATACCTGACCGCATAAGTAGGTCACATAAGTACGTTACACGACCGGAAGAGGGGGGGGGGGGTTTCCTGTACGTTACATGACCGGAAGTCCGGGGGGTGGGGGGGGGTGGGGGGGGGGTTCTAACCGTTTTTTAGGTGGTCAGCCTGTCCTAGTTTTATTTGGGTGGTCAGTTTGTCCTAGTCGCATCTACTGTCACACTTATGGCTTTTTAATAATTTATGGCATATGTAACCAGCAATATATGCAGCAGCATTTTCAGTTATATTGGGA